GGGACCTCTTCCGTGGGTGGATGTGGGCTCTGGGGGCCGCTCCAGGCCACAGACCCATGGGGTGGCGGGACAAGGCGCTCTCCTGCCCACACTGCGCACGGTGCCTCCACGCTGCCCTGGAGCAGCACCCGGCTCCCCTCCCCAGTGGCCTCTTCGCTGCAGAGGGCAGCAGGTGAGGAGGGGATGCTTCCCTAATTTCCCCACAGCAACCAGAACTGTCACAGCCAGGGGTGCAGGCTCAGCACCCCTAGGCCCTGTTGGTTGGTGCAGGCGGCATGAGGTTCTTTTCCTGCCAGGGGTCTCCCCAGCACAAGTGAACCCTGCTCCAGGCCCAGGGTCTCTGCTGACACTGAACGGATTCTGCACAGTGTCCTTACCCGTCCTCTGCAGAACTCTCCTGTCAGTCGCAGCTGCGGTCTGCCCTGCTGAGGGTTTGACTTGTAACGAATATCCTTTAAAAAATATTTCTGCACTCCATGCCACGTTCAAAAAAAAAAACAAACAACAACCCTCCTCTGCCCTGCCGACCCAGTCTCACGCGTGTAAGTCCTTCGGGGAGTTTGGGCGCAGGGTGAATTCGTGTGGACCACGACCCCAGCCCACGGGGAGGGCGAACTGCTTTGGGTGCGCACACCTAGTTAAGGGGCGGCCAAGGGCAACGCGGCCCCAGACAAACACTCCTCAGGGCCTGACTACTCGATCAGACGGAGCTTCCCGCGTCTTCCCGGCGGGCGGCGGCGGAGTCTGCCTACCTGCTCCGGGGATGGCCCGCGGTGCCGCAGCAGGGCGCTGCACTGGCCTGCACTGAGGTGCGCTCTGGCGTCCGGAAGCAGGAATGCACGAGGGCTGCTGCGCGCAGAGCTGCGTTCTCCCGGGGTCTGTCTTGCAGAAATATTTTTACAAAACAAAACAAATCCCGACGACTCCACTCGCCCAGAGCACCCCGGGAGCTCTGGGGCGTGGGCCCGGCCTGCTCCACTGCAGGGCAAAGGTGTTGTCCTCAGATACCGCCTGCCCAGAACCGGGCCGGGCTTCCTGTTCCTAAAAGGGTCTCCCGGAATGCAGATCCTTCAGAGGAACTCCAGCCCGTCCACGTCCAAGCAAGGTCGGCTCTGCAGCCCAGGGTGCCCGCACCCGCCGGGAGAGCCCGCCCGAGGTCATCGCCGAGGGGCGCAGGGCTGAGGGAGGTGGAGGAGGAGGACAGGCCCGAGTCCGCCAGGCGGAGGAGGACACCGGGAGCGGCAGGTTCGCAAGGAGCAGCCCTCGCAGCGGCTGAAGATGGTCAGCTGCACGTGGCAGGGCTGCCAAGAGAGCTGCCTCGGGCGGAGGGGTCCAGGCGCCACGCACCCATACGGCGCGCCTCCCCAGGGGCCGCTGGCTCCCATCCCGAAGTGCAGCCCGCTGGCCCTCGAAGGAGGGGGTCGCGAACACGCTGCAGCCGGACAGATTTCGCACGATGTGTAACGAGGAGTTTCAGTTTTAAGAAAAAGCAAACTGCAAAGCCACGCCCCCTCCTCTTGCCGTTCCCCCACGCCCACGCGGGCCCGCAGTCCGGGAAGGAGGCTCGGCGGCGGAGGGAAGTGCCACGCGGGTTACACGTTCCCTCACTGAAGGGAGCCGAGGCGAAATGTGCTTACTTAGCCTGAACTGCCCGCAAAACTACCCGCCCACGATGGTGGCTCTGTTTTCACCGAACTCACACTCCAAGGAAGGCCAGAGTAACAGAAGCGGTGGGAGCGGCCGGGTCCGAAGCGCTCGCGGTGTCTTCCTTCTCCCACGCGAGCCCTGCCCTGCGCGGAGCCCAGCAGGCCGCAGTCGCGGGCCACAGCGCCCCCTCGCCGCCCGCCACGCACCGGGCCGCCGGCCTGGGCCTCGGCCTCGCAGGGAAGCCCGGATCGCCGCCGCGCGCACGTCTGTGACCTGCTCCAAGCGCGCGGCCACTGTGGGACGAGAGAGAAAACGGGCCGTGTTAACTTTCTTTTTAAAATTTTAGTGCACACACGGGGAGCCGGGCCCGATCCGCAGGGAACCTGAACCGACTCAGTGCCTGAATGGTCGAAAGGGATCCCGCCCCAGGCAGTCTCTGCTCCCCGCGCCTGAACGGCCCCTCTCCAGCTCGGAAGCCAAGGGGGCCCGGGACGCCACCTGCCCTGTCCTCGGCGCGACAGCCAGGCCTGCTGCGCCGGGGCGGCTGCGCGGCCCCTCAAGGCCCCCTCCGCTCCTCGCGCGGCCTCCGCCCTCAGGGCCCCCGACAGCCACCTTCGAAGGCCGCGAGGGACACGGCACCGGCCTCCTATCTGCAGCCTGCTAGTCCCCTCACTGTTCTGAAATGCTTGTCTAAAATCCAAGCCAACTGTAACCTAAGCAAAGGAAGAGTGATTTTTCAAACATCAAGGAGCTGCAATGAGAAACGGAGTTTATATGTCCCGATAGCACCGAAGAGTAAGTGTTAATGTTCCTGCGTAGGCATTTTAATTTGCTACAGTCACTACCAATAAAAACGGCATGTAGCGCGATTCGACTGTTTAACAGCGCAAGGTAGACGGTTTTTATTAGGAACAGGCAGCAGTACGGAAAATTTAGATTTCAGCGGAGGGGTGTAAATGCTGGGGGAAAACACACACGGAAGGCAAGAGGCCTCCCCATTGGCAGCACGGAGCCGGGCAGGGATGCGGGGCTTCTGGGGAGACCCTTCGGTCACGTGTGCTTGCCTGGTTATCCCTAATTGATGTCAAAATCGACCGGGTCTAGGCATAAGGGTCAGAGCCATAGTGGGCTGTGTTTGCCATAAGTGGCCCTGACGGAGGCCGGCGGGGAGGGGTAAGGAGCGGCGAGGGGGAGGAGCCCCGATGCGGATGGGACCACTGGGGGAAACCTCTTCAGAAACGGAAGCCCCGGAGACAAAAATGAGAGTCAGTCTTCTTTCTCCCTTTTCTTTCTAGTCTTTCTCCAACTTAGAGCCGTGGGACTGACGGTTAGGGTCTCTCATCTGGGGTCTCTTCCCGGAAGGCCTCCTTCGCAGGAACCCGCATCTGCCCCCGTGGGCTCCACCTGCCTGCCGGCTGTGGGGTGTCTGCCTGGTCTCTACCCTCCCTCCCCCTCCTGGCTCCACAGTAACTGGTTTAAACCATCTTCCCTGGAGTGAATCAGGGAACCTGACGTAGGATCCCGGCACCCGGCTCCCGGCCCTCCCAGCCTCCTAGCCTGGGGGGGGGGCAACGCCAGAAGATGAGATGGTGGGGTGGGGTTAGCGGGGGGGGCAGAGCAGGAGGAGCGAGGGGGGGTAAAGACCCCGGACCCGCCTACGGGAGTGACTCCCTGCCAGCCCGTCAGAGCAGGAAGGCTTGTCAAGGTCCCTGCTGCCGTTCCCAACTGGTTCTCCGGACCCGGGGACACGAAAATGCAGCCCGCCCACAGCCCCAGCTCCGCGCTTCTGCGCCGCAGCTGCGCCAGCGCAGAGCCCTGGGAATCTTACAGGGCCCGAAAACAGCAGGGCCCTGCCAGCTTCAGCTTCGGACCCGAGGGATGGAGGGGCGGCTGCAGGCCCGGGCTCCGCCCCAGCCCGCAGAGCTCCAGTCCGCGGTCGCGGCGGTGGCTCCCCGGGAAGACACCTGTTGGGGGGGCGCCCCACCCAGGGCCAGCGCACACCGGGCCGCTCGGCGCTCCCCAAGCGCCCCCGCTGGTGACCCCATCAGGCCTGGTCGCCAGACGCCTTCTCCCGCCAGCCCCGGAGAAAGAGGAGTGAAGCAGCTAGGAGACGTGTGGAGGCATTCAGGGACCAGGGTCCCAAGGGCCGCCGCCAACCTCCTGCCCAGAACCCGCCGCGCCCGCCGAGCCCAACCAAAGTTACCTGAGACACCTGTGATGCGACCGCGTCAGGCCACCGGTCGGCTGCGCTCTCCTCCCTTCCCGAGGCGGCAGCGACGAGGCTCGTGCCGAAGGAGGCTCCTCTGGTAACAGTCTTCCCCCGAGTCCGAGGGAAGTGTCAACTTATTACAACCAAAGAAAACAGAACTCTTTTGGGGGTGGCGTTTTCCCAGCACAGCCCAGGCAGCGAGCTCCCCAGGGTCCTACGTACCAGGCCCGGCGTCCTCCCACAACTTGGGGGCCCGAGCCTCGGCGCCAGGCCCAGCTGGCAGCCGCGCCGTGAGGCGCCCGGGATCCGGGTCGGCGCGCGGTGGGGCTCGGAGGGGGGCAGGAGGCCAGACCTGGGAGGCTACGGAGGCGGTGCGGGCTGCCGAAGTGGAAGGGACGCTCACGCACGCCACCGCACGGGAGGCCAGCGCGAGCGTCCCGGTCCTGCCCTCCGGACTCCCGCGCCCCGGGCCAGGACTCCGGGGTCGGCGGACGCCGCCGGGCGGTAAGGGTGTGCGCAGGGCGCCCCGGTGCGGACTCGCCCGGGCCCGACCGCCGCGGCCTCGGAGTTGCCGGCGCCGGCCGAGGGGCCGGAGGAGGGGACGGCGGTGCCGGTGCCGGGGAGGCCGCCCGAAGAACATGAGAGTGGGAGGGTGCGGAACCCGGCGCACTGCTCCTCTGGGCCCTGCTGCGGGGCTGGGCCGGGCCCGGTGGGCCGCGCGCGAGAGGCGGCTGCGCCACAAAAGCCTGCGCGTCCCCCGCCCCTCCCGCCGGCCGCCCCTCCCCCTGCCTCGCTGCCCCTCCCCCGGCCGTGGCCGGCGGCGGGAGCGGGCGGAGCAGGGGAGGGGCGGGCACCCGAATATGCAGATGAGCGCGTGACGGACAGCTCCGCGTTCCAATGTCCCTCGGAAACTCGAGCGCTCCTTCCTCAACTCCTCACTCCCGACTCCAGATTCCCCCAAACCCCGACCGCCGGCCTGGCGCGCGGCTGCGCCCACCGGCTCTGCGCTGCCGCTGCCTCCGCCTCCGCCTCTGCGTCCGCCTCCCCTCCGTTCCCCGGCGTTCCGGCCGCCCGGTGCCCGCCGCCGCCTCGCGCCCAGGCCGGGCGTGGATGGAGGGCGCCGCGCGCGCTGCCCGCTGCTTGGCGTGACGCGGGCCCGCGCCCCGCGCCCACCATGTCCTACCCGCAGGGCTACCTGTACCAGGCGCCCGGCTCGCTGGCGCTCTACTCGTGCCCGGCGTACGGCGCGTCCGCGCTGGCAGCGCCGCGCAGTGAGGAGCTGGCGCGCTCGGCGTCAGGCTCGGCGTTCAGCCCGTACCCGGGCTCGGCGGCCTTCACGGCACAGGCGGCCACCGGCTTCGGCAGCCCGCTGCAGTACTCGGCCGACGCCGCCGCCGCCGCAGGCTTCCCGTCCTACATGGTAATCGCGCGGGGACGCGGAGGACGCAGCGCCGGGCTCGGTGCAGATCGGGGCGCGCGGGTGGGCTGGGGGGCTGCGGGCGGCGGCTCCCGACTCCGAGCAGGGTCGGTGGAAGGCGGCGCGGCCGGAGCGCCCGCTCGGTCCCCGGGAGAATTCTCCTGAGCGCCCGGGAAGCTTGCTCTGCCGGCCGGGGTCTGCCCGGCTGTCCTTGGCTCCCCTGCAGCTGCCAGGGGTCCAGGCGGGCCGCTCGGCCCCGTCGGCCTGGGGCAGGAGGAGGGGCGCAGGCCCGCGGACGGCTCCGGTTCAGCAGCTGGGCTCGGGCAGGGGAGGGAGCGGCTGCGGCTCCGGCTCCGGAGCCAGTCTCGGCGCGCCTGCGCTCGGCCTCAGTCAGTCTTGGAGACCGAGCTTTCCAGAAACGTTTTGGCGGGCGCGGGACCCCGAGCGCCTCCGCAGACCCGGGCGAGCTCCACAGCCGGCAGGATGGGCGGGCGACGGCAACGCACTTCCCTGGCGGTGCCGGTGGCTTGGGGGTGCACCCGCTGCCTCCCTCGGTGAAATTCCAGGGCAGCGGCGGAGTGGCGAGGCCCGGCCGAAGGCTGCAAACGTCTTGAATTTAAACGTTAAAGCGTGAATTAAAATGCTAATTACCGCGCATTTGAAGAATTCGAAACGGTGACTGGCTTCTGAGTTGCAAATTGGATTTAGGGAGCTTTGGAGCGGTGAATAGCGGAGGGGGGCTCTGGAGTGTTGGGTTTTTTTAAAATCACATAAGGGCGGGCAGGGGGAGTGGGGGGCAGCTCTGCAAGCTTCCGGGGAAATTTAGATATCAAGAAAGTACCTGGAGGCCCAAGTGCGCGGCGCATGTTTGTGTATATTGCATGCGCGGCTCCCAACATTCAGGGGAAATGGGTGGTTTTAGAAAAGTGTAGTAGTTCGCAAATCCGGGACTAAAAACGGCAGTGCTTTTGGGATCAACAACCGGCCCTACCTAAATTACCTGCCGCTTTTTCTCACTCTTTCTCTAAGGGCAGCGCGGCCCGAGCGCGGGAGACCCAGGGCCTGAAAGGCGGCCGCGGATGAGAGGCGAGGTCGCCGGGGTGTAGGCCTCCGGTGCCCGCGCACCCACTCATGCGCTGCCTTCTGTTGCAGGGCGCTCCCTACGACGCGCACGCGACCGGGATGACCGGCGCCATCAGCTACCACCCGTATGGCAGCGCGGCCTACCCGTACCAGCTCAACGACCCGGCGTACCGCAAGAACGCCACGCGCGACGCCACAGCCACGCTGAAGGCCTGGCTGCAGGAGCACCGCAAGAACCCCTACCCCACCAAGGGCGAGAAGATCATGCTGGCCATCATCACCAAGATGACCCTCACGCAGGTCTCCACCTGGTTCGCCAACGCGCGCCGGCGCCTCAAGAAGGAGAACAAGATGACCTGGGCCCCGAGGAACAAAAGCGAGGACGAGGACGAGGAGGACGGCGATGCTGCGAGGAGCAAAGAGGAGAGTGCGGACCAGACGCGGGAGGGCGCAGAGACCTCGGCGGAGGACGAAGGTGAGCGGCCAGAGGGAGTCGGGAGTAGGGAGTCGGGAGTCGGGAGTCGGAGCTCCTTTCTCCCTTACCCGGGGCGGGAAGCTCGGACGCGGCCCGCGGACACCCAGGTCCCGCCCAGCCCGGAGACCAGGGCGCCGGGCGTTGCTCGGGATGTGACCTCGGCGTCCGTGGGCGCTTGGAGGCGGGGCGGGAGGGTTGGGGAGGCCTTGGAGCCCCGGGCCACCGACCTGCCACCCCCCCCCCCGCCCCGCAGGCATCAGCCTGCACGTGGACTCGCTCACGGACCACTCGTGCTCGGCCGAGTCGGACGGGGAGAAGCTGTCCTGCCGCGCCGGGGACGCCCTGTGCGAGTCGGGCTCGGAGTGCAGGGACAAGTACGACGACCTGGACGACGACGACGACGCCGACGAGGACGAGTGCGCACGGGACCTGGCGCCGCCCAAGCCCGTGACCTCCTCGCCGCTCACCGGCGTGGAGGCGCCGTTGCTGAGCCCTGCGCCCGAGGCCGCGCCCCGCCTGGGCGGCAAGACGCCCCTGGGCAGCCGGACATCGCCGGGCGCGCCGCCGCCCGCCAAGCCCAAGCTGTGGTCGCTGGCCGAGATCGCCACGTCGGACCTGAAGCAGCCGAGCCTGGGCCCGGGCTGCGCGCCCCCGGGGCTGCCCGCTGCTGCGGCGCCCGCCTCCACCGGGGCCACCCCGGGCGGCGCGCCCTACCCCGCCTCGCCCCTGCTGGGCCGCCACCTCTACTACACGGCGCCCTTCTACGGCAACTACACAAACTACGGGAACTTGAGCGCAGCACTGCAGGGCCAGGGCCTCCTGCGCTACAACGCGGCAGCCGCGGCCCCGGGCGAAGCGCTGCACTCGGCGCCCAAGCCGGCCAGCGACGCCGGCAAGGCGGGCGCGCACCCGCTGGAGCTGGAGCCGCACTACGGGCCGGCGGGCGGCGGCTACGAGCCCAAGAAAGGTAGGCTGTCCGGGCCCGCGGGTCGCCTCGAGGAGGGGCCGCTGGGTTAGACGCGGGCGGAGGGGCGGAGGAGGCGGAGGAGGGGTCGGCTGGGGTCGGCTGGGGTCGGCTGGGGATGGGGGAAGACCCGAGGAGCCGCTGGTTGGATTGAGAATTAGGCAGAAAGGACTTGGGGAGGAGGGCTGAGAGAGAACTGCAAAGGGTGGAGCCTGCCTGGCAGATCTGTCTACCCGGTTATTGTTTACTCTATTTCATTGATGAGTAATATGATCATCATAACTGTTTGGGTTTTGCCACGAAATGCGTTGCAGCTCGGCTCCCTTCAGAGCCAGCCTCTGCTGCCCAGCTCAGCCAAGGCCCCGCGCTGCCTCTGCCCAGGAGGAAAGGCAGCATTGTCAGTCACTCAGCGGCCTGCTTCCTTTACAAATCATAGTGCTCCTTTTCCGTGTTACCTCTGTTGTGCATAATTCAGGCTCCCAGAGAAAGGGGCTCAAGGGGGCGGGAAAGCAGGCGCTCCAGGGACGGAGCCAGAATTCACGGCAGACAGTGGCGATGCAGCCGTGGGTCCCCACGCGCGCCGCACACGGGCTCTGTGCCTGGCTGTGGCAGCCAGCGACTGAGGGTTGGTTCTCACTCACTGCCCCTCCCCCGACAGATGCCGGCGAGGGCTGCGCGGCGGTGGGCGTCCAGCCCTACCTATAGAAGGGCCGAGGAGCCGGCAGCGCAAGTGAGTGAGGTGGTCAGCTTGCTGATGGTGTTGTTTGCCTTGTGTCATAGAGCAACAGCCTGCTGTGCTCTTTTTCCCTCCAACGGGGAAGAATCTGTAGATTCCCTCTTCTGCTCAAATTCTGCTGTGAAACATCACCTAACTAGAATACGTATCACAACACAGTTACTGCTTTCGATTTGAAAAAATTCATGATTAAAATCTGGGCATTTGTGTGTCTTTTGGAACAGTTTTCACTGTGCTAGAAACGTAACAGACACCTGCTTTGAGGAGGGAATGCTACCAAAACCCGGTTTCTGAACCCTTTTGTAGATGTTCACAGAGGAAGAGGAGGCACAGGAGCCGTGGTCTTTTACCGGGCCTGCCCCTGCCCGTGTCCAGATGGCTGGGACGGGACAAGACCTGCCCTTCTCCTGGCTCACGGCAGCCCTTTAAAATGCTTTCCTCTGCAGGCAGGCAAGATTGCTTGCTAATCCCAGACCCGGACTCGACTAGGGGAAAGGGAACCATTGTGGCATGGGGCTGAAGGATTTGGGATGATTTGGTTTTTTCCTTGGTCCACAGGTAGGTGTCACAATTGCTTTGGAAAAAAAAGTCAGCAGGCCATTCTCTATCCCAAGCTCATAAATACACAGATACAAAAAGCAGATCTCTAAACCCGGACCCATCTTGTGCCACTAAAAGCGAAGGACGCACACGGCACTGTCAGCCACAGACCCTAAGGACTGCAACACACTGTTGTGGACATCTGTGAATGTGTCGCGTAGTATAGCTTCCCCATGTATGTGTGACTTTTGAAACCAATCCGTTTTTTCTCAGGATATCTTGAATTGATCACTTCATTGCCACGGTATATATTCTATAGGTGTGATAGGATTTACTGTAAAATTTATTTGTAAAAGATGTACACAGTAGAAATAAAACGTGATTGAAGAACTTGAGTACTTCACAAGTAGAAACAAATTTGATATTTATTTTTATAATGATATAAAGCTTCTAGTAATTTATGCAAGTTGTATTGCAATGGAATCTAAACTTTTTGTAAATAAATTCTGCCTGGTTTTTATTTGAACATTGCTGGTTATACAATCTTTGTTGGTTGTTTAACATGAATTCTTTACTAATTTATATCTTAAATTGTAAATAAACACAGACTAGTCTACAATAATATGGTGTGTTTGGGGCTTGTTTGTCCAGAAGAGAGATTGGAGTCTGGAGCCCTATGGCCAGGGTCCTCCAGGTGAGCTTCACTCGCCTTTTTAATGAAAAGCTGTGTGGAATAAACTCTCTGGTCCTGCTCATAGAGAAAAAAAGGCAGATGGGAGAGACATACACAATAGGGAGATACATGTGGTTCTAGATTATTTATATACAAATGTATTACAAAAAATAATTTTTTGTTTTCTGAATATGCAAATTCCTTGTTAGTGTAAATTTTTAAAACTTGGAAATAAAATGCTCTGATACTCTTGTGCATTTTGTATTTATTTGTGATGCTAGCTTTGGGACCCAGAGAACTGAACAGAGGAAGTGCGCGCTGATATTGGTCAAGGAGAGTTCTGCCTGCAGGAGGATGCTTAACTCTCCTTTGCTCCCTGCCTTTAACACGGGGAGACAGGGGGTGGTTCCCCTTCGAAGCCTTTACCCTTGCTCCCCCCGAAAGAAACGTTTAAACAGCCTTGGACTATTGTGTCTTTACTGCCCTTACTCCTTCCTAATTATAGGACAGGTCTAAAATTTGCAGTCAAGGAATGCACCTTCTGATTGGAGTCATAAAGCTGCAACCCTGTCACTTTAATTCTCAGCACAATTATGCGGCTATCCATATAATATAATTTCAGAAAAGAAATGAACAATCATTTATTTCCTCTCCAAAGATAAATTGAGTGAATATAACTTACGGTTATAAAACAAGAATAATGGCTTCTTAGATTGCCCTTTAATCAATCATACACTTATTTTTCAAGAGGTTCACCTATTTTATGCTGTGATTAATAATGGTGTGGGGTGAGCCCGTTATTGGATCCCAGCGGGGGCAGTCTCTGGTGCTTTGAGCTGCTTTGGAATGGTCAGTTGGGGTTCATTATGGGCTGAGATTGAACGATTTATAAAATCTTGTCTAAACATCTGCCAGCTCCGATAGGCCCATGTGTCTGAGGATGGGAAATTGCCGGACTGGTTGATATTGACAAACGGATCTCTCTCCAGTGGCTTTTTGTGCCATAGAAATTAGTGGCCTCTTGCTGGGGTCTTGTTAGAAAGGGTATTTGAAAGTAATCTCGGGTACTTGAGCAAAGCCAGGGGACTGTTAGCTGTTCCGGATGGGGAGGGCGGCTGCACGGTGCCTGAGAGGGCAGTTGAAGGGGAGGTTTCTATTTTCCAGTCCTTGTGCATTCTGTTGGCTAAAAACACAGGCATTTGGAGGTCAGACATAGCATAAACCTCTGGGGTGCAGAGCCTTTCTTCTCTCTCGTCTTTTTTTCTCTCTCTGCCTCCCCCTGCAATAGAAGCGGCAGCACTGGAGCTGAGCTATCTGTTGGCAGGAGGGAAGCATTTTCTCATGGACCCCTGCCACCCTGAGCAGTGTGTCTGGCAGACAACAAATGCGAAGTCTGGGAAGGAAGACGGAGGTTCGAGCGCGTTTTCTGGTTTTGTTTTCAGACACAAAACCTTCTTAGAATTTCCATGAAGATCATGATTTTTCCCTCCAAGAAGCTTTTTACATTGTGATATCAAGGGATCAAGTAGTTTATTAATATTAGCTATATTTCTTGAATCCATGGGGAACACAATGCACACAGCAGCAGTGTCTCTGTTAAATGTAATGTATTATAATGTGGCTTTTTAGGGCCTCAGTGGAAAGAGTGAAAGTTAGTTAGCAAATTTAACAAACCCAGCACCACAAGACCAGCTCTAAGGAGGATGTAGCATGGAAGGCAGCAGTCTCTGAAAGGAAGGAGGGCTCAGGGTGGGAACCCCAGGCCCCAGCTGATCTTCCAGCAGACCTTCAGGAAGTAAACCCTGGGTAGCAGCCGGCTCCCCTGGAACAGGGAAGATTGCTTTACCTGGACCTGTGACCCTGACCCTTCTTGTCCACACCCATCGGACCCCCTCAAGGTGCACATGCCACTTGGGGAGCGCTCAGGGAAGCCCAGATCAGCCTGGCTAGCGAAGCCGCTTTGATGTTGCTGTGCCCAACAAATGACTGAAGATCTCTGTACCTTTCCCACCTGCCTCCTGACCCGAATTTCTTTCTGGAGAGCTCGATTTTTCGATATTCACTCAGAACATAAAACCTGCAGGTGTTAGAGGGATCTTCTCAGAAGAACTGTGGAGTGATTTATGAGTCCTTCTGGTAGGTGGCTGGGGAAGAGCAGGGGAGGGCAGGAGAGACTAACCACCCCCCACAAGGGCGCTGATGCCCAGTTACTTTTGCTTTAAAAACTTGTTAATCAAGTGACTTGTGGGGGATGTCAGCTAACCAGAGCCCAGGGCCACTGAGGGGTGTGGAGGCTTTGGCCTAGCTGCTGAACAGGCCTGGGCGGCTCCCTGCTCTGGGCCCCTCTGCCCTCTGGGGCCTCAGCTTCATTAGAGCTGATTTGTCAGAATTCGCACCTCCATCTCAGGTGGGCTCAGGGGTCAGTGCTCCAGCGAGCACCAGCCAGCACTGCCTCCTGTGCCATCAAATGTCAACATTTGTTCCCAATAAAAGAGTTATTGTTTGTGCAAAGCTGCCCAGCAACTGACTTTGAAACTTGAAAAGAACTTCATCCACCTTTGTCTCCAGGGTGCTAGAGAGGCAGGGAGCTGGGAGGGAGGAGGGAGCGTAAGGGAGGGGTCAGCCTGGGATCCAGCCTCCTGGACCCCTTGCTGCCACCTGGAGCTCCCGAGGTGGGGTGTCCTGAGCCCCCAGTCTGGCTCTTGCTGGCGGGCTCTTCAGTGCTGTGTGATCAGATATCTGCAGACTGGGAGGTTCCAGCCCCAGAAGATGCAGGGCTGGAACAGCCACCCTTGCCTGTGGGGTCAAGTCCAGTTACATTTAAATATTTATTAAAGAGGCTAAAAGTAAAATATACCCTTTCTTTTTAAGGTTATCAAATAAATGCAAACTGATAGAGATATCAGTTTGGGAAAAAATTATTTCAGGTCAATTTATTATCTAATCAGAGGCAAGCCTTTTGGAATTTGTATTATAGTAGGAATTATTACACAGTTTCTTCCAAATAACAGTACACAATGACTATTGCCATATACTTTTTTTAAGAATAAGGACAATCCCAAGGACAACATTCAGTTAAAATCCAAATTAAAGACGGAGGGTAGAAATGTGTTTTTAAACCACTTTTACAAAAACTGCATTTAAAACGTTTTTTAAATGTGTTCACCGGAGAGGCGATCTTGGGAACAATGTGTACAAACATCTGTGATCTGTGGATACTACGATTAACATGATTTGAATTTCTACAGATCACAAGGGGGAGATGTCTCTGTGATGTATTTTCAAACTTTTATGCAAGTGAAAAATTCCTACAGATACTTTAAAGCCTTATTTTAAGGAGAAGGAATCTATGACAGTATAATTTTCCAGCTGCAGAAAATGACTGTTGTCATAATGAAAATGCACATGTGCCCTCCCCTCTCCCTTCCTTAGGGCCCGGCACCTGGGCATCCGTAGACCCTTGGACCTCAGCTACTAGACTGCGCCTGTGACCCTCGTTTTGGGGTTCAGACCCACTGTGTGTGAACCTTCACCGTGTCCTTTTTCACCACCCCAAATCGTCTCAGCGGGGACCTCGGTCCTCCGGCTCCCAGGCCCCCAGCAGGGAACAGGCTCGTGTTTCCTGTAGTGAGGGCAGAATGTTCTTTCTAAGAAAGGTAGACGTGAAGACACTGTAGGAGGAATACACTGGCGCTTTAACTCAAAGTGAGTTATGAAACGGTCTGTTCTGCAATCCCAGGTAAAAGGAAAGAGGAAGCATTTTCAGTTTGTTTGTTTAAATCTGTGTCCAAAATCACGAGGAAACGTCTTCCTAAAAGTGGCCCAAAGTCACGTTGTGCTAGATGGAGCTGGAAACAGGTCCCACCTGATATTGCTAAAGAACTGAGCTGAGGCTGCGGCCCTCCCAACACCTGGCTCTTCGCAGCAGGTGCCCGGAGGGGAGAGGAGCGCGCGCCGCAAGCCCAGGACTTTAGTGGGGAGATACATTGGCAATTTATTGTGTGTAACTCTGATCAATTATTAATCGTTAGTGTCAACAACGGGGTTATAATTACCTTCGGTTATTTTAAGAAATATTTGCCTTTGCGCTTCTCTGATACGGATCAGTTAAGGCGCTTGAATTCCAAGAAGAGCCCCGCAGGCCCTCCCGGCCCCTCCCAGGGGAAGCGCCCCGCGCCCCCCGCCCCCTTCTCAGAAGGCCCCTCTGCCTTCGCTCCACCGGCGGCCACTTTTCAGCTTTCTGCCGTGAATGATGATTTCAGAGGAAAGGGGGAGAGCGACGTACAAATCGAGCGCAGCTGGAGTTAATAAGGCTGATCGAAGTTAGCGGCCCAGCCTGCCAAGGCCGGCCGGAAAGGCCGTAAGGG